TGCGATCGTTATTCGTGTATTCGTGCGCATTATTATACGGCATCCGGCGATATCGTTACGTCGTATAATTAACGAGTAGAGTTTTATATTCAGGTTGTTGCCGTGCGACATCTTTTTCTTACCGGAAATGCGCGCGGCCGTTTAAAAGTCGTCGTTACAATTGCGTTTATTACGGAACAGTGATAGTGCGACAAAACTGTGGAATTCAACGATGATCGGATCATTCAACGGAATTTCCGAGTCATTCGTGGATGATATAACTAATGAGATTTGAGCTTTAAGGTGAGAGAGTATTTTTGAAATCGTGCGATTTAGTTCAGAATACTATTATTAATAGTCAAGACAATATGTGTGTCGGTATGCTTTATTACAAATCGGGAAGAGATGTGGAAATAGTAAAAATGTATCGAGTATTTAAATATTAATATATAAATTGAGAGTATATTTAAATATTTCAGAATGCCTGTTTTACGACAATGAGATATCATTATACTTACAAGAAAGATAAACATTATGATTACTTTTGCTATATAAACTTCATAATATTGACAACGTGGCATTTACAGACAATTACGCAAACCGTATTCGTTAAGGAAACACACGATAGATATGGTTACGTTTGACACATAAACGTCCTTCAAATATATATTTCGAGGTGTAGACACATGTTTACGAGGATGATATGAGGAATGTCGTTATGATGTCATTGTGTGATATTAAGATCTAAATCCAAATCTTAGATTACAGAAGAAATAGCATAGCATTTGATATACCTTATTATCTCGTTCGAACACGAGTTATTCATTAAGTCGCCAAGGTAACGCAAATAATAAAATGTGCCAGTTGTTTGAGCGATATATATTATCAAACCGATATTATTCAAGCCTGTCGTATGATTTGCATTATTCAAAATAATAGTTGTTTTATTGCTTATTGCATAACGAAAATATTTAAGGATAATTTTTGCAGGTTATTTGCATTTTTTTATAAAATATATTATTAAAATTGTTTTATCAGGATATTTCTCTTATATTCCACGTATTAAAAATAATTATGTGTTTAAATAATTATATTATTTTAATATTATATAATATATTAATTCAATAATATAAATAATAATACTCTTAATACGTAAAAAAACAGATTTTTTATTTTACTTTTTATACAATTAAATGTAATATATTTTATAATTTTTATGTGTATAATATAATTTATATAATATATAAACAGACTCGGGTTTTGCTAAATAAGAATTGATAGAAATATATGAACAGGCATAAATATTTAAATTTGTATATATTGCTTATATATAAATGGTAGCAAAAAAAAACTTGTCTCAATTTGCTTCTCTCGGCAATCATTAATGAACATCACATTAAACGTGTATTTTGATTTGATTCATTCGCTTTAATAATTATAGAAGAATTCGACGAATGATATAACGATAATCTTTGAACGCAATAAATCTAAAATTTTTCTATTACAATCATAATCTAAGATTAGTCTTGGAATGTAATAAATCCGAGATTCTTTTATTACAATCATATCGCTTTCGCGGTATTTGTTTATACATCATACCATAAATTTGCGTTAAATTCTCCTTTGTTTATGTCGTCATATTCAAACGCGGCTCAATCTTTGCTTTCGTTTCTCCAAGAATTCCATGAATTTTGGGAAAATCTTTTGATGTGCTACATAATTTAATATACACCGTTTATTCTTAAACCTTGTTATGTCTTCGAACATGTATTTATCGTATTTATCTTAAGGTCTTTATATTAATAATTCATAAAAAATATTCGTAACATTCTTCGTTCTTGATGAAATTTGATAAGTTTTGCTTAATTTTTTCGTTAACTTCGAAATTATATTTGTCCAATACTGTGTTAAAAAGAATGGATTATATTAATTATGTGTATTTATATATTTTTTACATCTACGCCATATATATATTTGGCGTTACGTTTAAAAAACAATCGTTTGCCAAACAATCTGCGAAAATATCTAACAGTTCTGACCATTCAACAAGTTATATAGGAATAATAATTACATGATCGTTACTAATAATACTCATTTTACATTTATTATATTTATCAAGAAAAATATTGCTCTATACTAATGAGAGTGCATTAATTAATATCTTATATATATATATATATATACTACACGGAATACTC